CAGGAAAGCTACCCATACGGATGCTTATCTGAAACCGGATTCCCACCACCATCCATCACAGAAGAATTCTCTCATCAAGACTCTGTATCATAGAGCCCAATGCATATCCGACCAGGAACACATAAGCAGTGAACTCAAGCACGTACACCAAGCTCTTAGGGCTAATGGTTACTCCGACTATACAATCCGCAAAGCTATCACTCAAACCATGAAGAAGACCCTCTTGAGGAGCCTTTCAAAACCATCACTTTACCCTACATTGCTGGGATCACAAAAAAGATCTCCAAAATCTTGAATAAACACAAGATCCAGGTCCGTTTCAATACATTACATAAAATCCGTAATCTGGTTCCGTCTGTAAAAGATGTGATTCCAGACATACAATACCCTGGTGTCTACAAACTAAGTTGCCTCTGTGGTAGTAGTTACATTGGAGAAACCAAACGCCATATCTCGGACCGCATTCGTGAACATAAAGCAGACCTTAAACACGGTAGGACCAACACCTCGGCCGTAGCAGATCATTGTTATAATTCAGTAGGCTCACATGACATTGACTTCTCCAAGACGGAGGTTCTTTGTAAGCCATCTGGCTTCCATGAGAGATTCGTTCATGAGGCTATCCACATATACAAACACAGAGACAATTTCAACCGAGAAGATGGATTCTATCTTAGCAATCATTGGAAAGATTTGATAAATCATTTCAGTTCTTGATTGATTGTTCACGCTTACAGTGGCTTTCAGACAGCATACATAAAAACAAATTTCGTCTCCCCCCTCCTCTTTTCAAAAAATAGATGGACTAGTCCTGGGCAAACTGCCAATCGTTGCGCGTGACGCAAACGTATTTTTTTTATATATATATAAATAAATATGCCGTTTACAAAATAAATTTATGCAAACCGACACACCTGATGATGACCGTTTGAGTTATGGTCGAAACGTCGTGAGAATTTTTTTATTGTTTTATATATATTTTGTTATTTTGTTGTTTCTCTTCAACGTGACTTTACCGAAAAAAACTAAGAATATAACATTGGGGTATACTTTATTGTTTTAAAATGGTAAGAATAAGGCACGACTATGGAGATTGAGCCGTCTTGCAGAAGATAATTATGAATGCGCTGCTTTAGAACGGGGTAGGGATGTCATCTCCTGATCAGACGATGGCGTCTTCCATCCTCTGGGGAACAAAGCCATGCCTTGCTACTCTATGTGTACTGCCGGCCTTCCAGGAGATGATTCTGAACAACTACCACACCAGATAAAAACACGTCTTCCAAAAACATAAATGTATTCTGCGTATTATGAGACACATTGCCAACTTTTGCTTAAAACCACAGGGAGGTGACCGTGCGTCTCAAAAACTGAAGAGTATTGGTTTTTAGTGGTGTGGACCCACACTGCACGGCATATGATGACGTGATATTGTGAAGGATTTATATTTCGAAGATGTTGGGGCACATACATTTCAAATAATATATTTTTGAAAAATAAGAATAGGTTTTATCCTTTTGGGCTACAAAAACGGAGGTGTTAAGATGGTCAAATACCAACTCGATACCTTTTTCAAGGAATCAAGTCTGCATTAACCACACGTACTTGTGGTGAACATGCAAACATAGGTGTTATTAAAGTGTTCATGAAGCGAACAAGCGGTTCTGTGAATATGTATTCGATGTTACACATCCCTGGATTGTAAACTTTCAATTCTACTATTTTGATTACCAGTTGATGTGAAATGTTTTGCCATATTAAATTATCTGGAGTGTGAGGTAAATAAACTTGCCCGTGAGTTGAAATTTTCTACTGGTGTGTGAAGTCAGTTATGCAACAACAAAGTTGTACAATTACTGTTATCTCTGCGCCAAAATCATATGAACTATAGCTCACAGAGGTCAAGCTGTAGCTCAAACATATACAGCCTTGTGTACGTAACTTTTCTGTTCAGGGCGTTGGGACTCCTTCTAAGTTATGGAGTTATATCACTTTTGTATAAGGGCCACCTATCAGAAGTGAAACAATAGACTTATATGTTGGTTTGCTGCCCGAAGATGAAGCATAGATCTGCGCAAGCGAGTGGTGGGTTCTTATCACAACAGCATAGATCTGTGAGACGAGATATCCAAGTTTAAGAAGAGGCCATCAGAGGATTGGACCAGCACAGCTGGAAAATGGTAAAATAATAACCCTTGAATTTGGTGAGTTCATGAACAAACTCCGATGACACCAGGGCTAATGAACTATTCTCGAAGGTTTCTGACTTTGTATAGAGACATCCCAAAGAAATAACATTTCGCAAAGGTGTGCTGCTACTTCTGCTCAACCAGCAGGAAGACACGACTTCCATTATGGCTTGCTTGTGTCGCCAGCCCATCCTCTTTCCCATAGTGATCGTAACGAGAGAGCAGGCCAGCTAAACAAAAGCATTCGGGGACGATAGATGTTATTCGGAGTTGAGTTCTTGTCCCATTTAGTACCACACAGCAGGCTGAGATGACTGGACAGCTTCACAAAGAGGGAACGCAAATCGGGTTACCAACTCTCCCTCAATGTCCGTGAGTCTCCACCGAAATTGGCATCAATCTCCTGGTGACGATTTGAAGCGACCCGGGAGCTTTAAATTGGATACTTTAAGAAAAATTATGAATTTTAAAAATCTCCCGCAATATCTTCAGTCAAGAGTTGGCAAGCCTAAACGCGAGTGGGTCATGTGACGGCAACACTTTATTAAACAGTGGCCAACAAAACGTGCCAATTAGTTGCTAGTTAGGAACACTGATGTGTTTGAGAACAAACCCACAATATTTAGAATTCGATTTCAATGTGTCTCCGGTAATTACAACCAGCTTCATCAGGCGACAATCTAACAACAACAATCAACAATTTGTGTGCACGCCGTTGCTCGGAGGCTCTAGGAGGAGCCGCAGACAGCAGCCACCAGCTCTGCTGTCCTCTATATACGAAGGTGTTCTGGGCCACATAATGAGCGTTCACGTGTGGGATGAAACCATAGCGCCCGGAGAAAACCCACGGCGTGTGCAAGGCGAGGCCAAACTTGATTCCGTACAGATGGAACACGTGGGCGTACATGTTTGCTGTACCACCTTCTCCTGGCGAGCCAGGGTATGGTGCCTCATTGACGCCAAGGGGTTGGGAGTTTCACAGCATTTGTGCGATCCACCAACCCTCTCCTCCACGGTGCTGGATTACCGGCGTCCGTAGTCGCCACCGCCCGGCTAACATCAAGAACCTTACAGTGACGTTATGAGCGAGAGTAGGTCCACGCGTGCCAGCACCACTGGAGAAAAAATACCAAATTAAAATAAATTGCCATGCAAATGATGATGTCGATCGCTCCCATGGACGATCGACGATGGGCAGGCAGCGTGGTGGTGGTCATCAGCTCGTTTGCTGGGCGCCGTCGTGATGAGATGTTATCTCTCTCGCCTGGTATGCAGGAGGTCGTGGGTTTGATCCCGACTCTGACGCCTGCTGCATATTTAGAGTTTGCATGTTATCTGCCCGTGGTCACTTTTTTCTGGGTCTTTGTTCCTTTCACATTTTGAATCAAACATGCGTTTCGAGAATTTGTCTGCTATACATTTCCACTTGATAAGCACTTCGTTGAGCTATCATTTGTGATAGCCAGATCGCTTGTTAAAATATCTATGTAGCTCAGTCGGCCTTACCTGGTAAAATAAAAATAGTTTAGTTTTAATACACCCGTAGTATTGACCAGGGCGACCTGACGGGTTCAAACCGCAAACCTCTGCACTGCACGCCTCAACCAACGAGCTGATAAAGCCCCCCCGCCCCTCCCCTCCATCCCCCACGAGCCCCCCAACCCCTCGCAGCCCCTCCCCCCTTCAGACACAAGCCCCTCCCACCGTCGAGTGACGTCACGACCAACTGACGCCCACTCTGAAGATTCAAGTTGAGCCGCCAAGAAGCTGAAGCCGAAGACTCCGCGACTCTCAAAGATTCCGAGACTCCGAGACTCTACCTGAGATTCCGAGACTCTACCTGAGATTCCGAGACTCTACCTGAGATTCCGAGACTCTACCTGAGACTCAGAGACTCTACCTGAGACTCTACCTGAGACTCTGAGACTCTACCTGAGACTCTCCTTGAGGCTCAGAGACTCTACCTGAGACTCTCCCTGACACCTCTCTGAGGCCTTCTCACTCGACTCGCTCTCCCTGCTTGAGTGAAGAACCTCGCCGAGCTTCTGCACGACGGTGGAAGGATGGAAACATCTCCCAGGTGAGTGAGCGTGAGACGGCACTGGGGAGAGACAAAGACGGCTGTGAGATGTGTGCAGTGTCTGAGCGAGACAGCCCTGCACAGTACACCCGGGTACTCTGCTGTGGCCGTGTCCGTGTCAGATCGGGCGTTGCCTTCAGAGGGACAAACATTGATACAGACCGTGAGGGAGACACTCGGACACACAACGTAGACACACGGGCACACACAGCAGAGACACAGAAGGCAGCAGACACATGGAGACGCAGAAGGGAGACAGGAGTCGCTATTCTATTGCTAGTGGACACTCCTCACCAACACACGGAGACAGGCGAGAGGCTTCCAGTCATTTAATCTCCGTCACCCACAGCGCTCTGCTCTTTTGCTGCCGCTCCGTCCTCATCTGCTGCTCTCTTCTCCTCATCGATAGCTCCTGGCGACGTCCCCTCTCATCCCGATGACCCCCTCTATCATTGGAACCTCGTGGCGGGAACCCCTCGGGGTCCCAAATAAGCGGGAGTCAAAATCGTAATTAATTAGTTAATGCATTTCTGGCGACTCCGTCCCAGCGCGCACAGAAACGCCGCGATCCACCTTTTAATGGCATAAAAAAATAACAAATTAAAAACTTGTTCTCGGGGGGGGGGGCGCTGTGAGCCCCCCCCGAACCCCCTGGCTGGAGGTGCTCACTTCGCTCACCAAGGGAGCCAAACCATTTCACACGTTCTTTTTCCAGATCGCGGGGGGCCTGCGCCCCTAACCCCCGCGATGTGCAAGGGTCGACTTACTTCTCTTTGGTTCTATTCGGTAAAGTCACGTAGGTTAAAAAATAAAGCAACAAAAATCACGACGTTTCGGCCACAACACAAGCGGCCTTCATCAGGTGAAGGGACCAGACTGTCTCAAGGACAGCGCTGGAGTGAACACAGCCAAGCTCAGACCGCGACCTTTAAGCTATGTGAGAGGAATTAAGGTGCCTTGAAAAAGGAATTCGCATAAAAAATAGCATTTAATTGGCAGACTTAGCATGGTGAACGGTGTAGAGGGGGTGAACATGTGCAGGTCGGCGAGGGGGGAGGGGGAGTTTGCCTATTATGGTGTGAAAAGGGAATTTTAAGAGCTGCGAAAGTTTGGGGTACCACTTACTTGAAAAAATATACTGTACCTGCCCTCCCCTCCTCCGCCTCTGATCTCTGCACCTGATTGGGTTCAATGATGATGACGTCCTGCTCTATTTAAGACCGGAAGCAGGTGGATTGCTTCACTATTCTGGCAAATCGCCCGATGCTGGATGTAATTACAAACGAAATGTCGTACTCAAATTGTAAATGTTGTGGATTACTCTCCAACACACCGGTGGGCTGAAGTAGTAACTAATTGGCGTTTTAGGAATAGGTTTTACCCTTTTAACTGGCACAAAAACTGACACCTTTATTCAAGGCATCATGTTTGCAATGAGCACAACACAAGCAGTCAAAATGCAAACAAAAAAGACAACTCTGATAATAATATGCACTGTCCTTGAATTTGATTGGTCCACACCCGAGACAGCTTTTCTTAGAGCCTAGTCTCCATTGTTGTTGGACCAGAAGACGCCAAAAGGCGTACAACTCAAAAAACGGCGCACTACCAGAGTATTGAGGGCTCGGGGTGAGCATTAACATTATGAGACCTCCTTTGCCAGAAACAAGATATAGGAATAGGTTTTACCCTTTTAACTGGCACAAAAACTGACACCTTTATTCAAGGCATCATGTTTGCATTTTGACTGCTTGTGTTGTGGTCATTGCAAACATGATGCCTTGAATAAAGGTGTCAGTTTTTGTGCCAGTTAAAAGGGTAAAACCTATTCCTATATCTTGTTTCTGGCAAAGGAGGTATCATAATGTTAATGCTCACCCCGAGCCCTCAATACTCTGGTAGTGCGCCGTTTTTGAGTTGTACGCCTTTTGGCGTCTTCTGGTCCAACACCAATGGAGACTAGGCTCTAAGAAAAGCTGTCTCGGGTGTGGACCAATCAAATTCAAGGACAGTGCATATTATTATCAGAGTTGTCTTTTTTGTTTTCATTTTGACTGCTTGTGTTGTGGTCATTGCAAACATGATGCCTTGAATAAAGGTGTCAGTTTTTGTGCCAGTTAAAAGGGTAAAACCTATTCCTATATCTTGTTTCTGGCAAAGGAGGTCTCATAATAATTGGCGTTTTGTTTACGTGGCAAATCCCTTACTAATTGGCAGTGTCGGGTGGTGGAGGTTTACGACACATTTATACTTACGCGATCTAACCCAAAACCTTTATTATGAATTTATTTACAGTTGGCAATACACCCATCAACAGAAAGTTGATCCCCAACATCGATATGAATTGGAGAGGTTTCCTCTCATCAGCAACAACGTTGAGAAGAGTCCACAGACGAGGATGAGAAGGATGAGAAGCGATCTCCCAGAGGTCCCCAGCGGAGGAACCACATCCGCAGGAGATGCGGAGCCAGCAGCACTCTCCATCTCCCGTCTCGCGGGGAGCGGTGGACTCTCGTGCCAGCTTACCAGTCTTGACTTGCGCAAGGCGCAACGTTGATGAATCTGTGGAAGGGAATGAACATTTAGCTGCACGATTCATTAGAACCCGCCTTTTCCACTTGGCACACGCGAACCGAGCCAGCGTTGGGGGGGCTCCCACGGCCTGGGGGTGAGAGAGACAGAGAGAGATCCCGTGTCTGTGTGTGCACGTGTCTCACCTGTGGCCGTACATCTGCTGCACTATTCCCGATGGCTGCTGGTTCTCGTACAGAGGGGAAACATCTCCCCCCCGGGGCTGGGAGACCTGTGAAGGAGACCGCCATGAACATCAGCTCGTCGAGAATGCCCGAGTCAAACGCGCAATTCGCTCACACATCCCAAACCGATGCTCCGGGCTTCACAGCGAACACCTTAACATGGCTTTCATTGCAAATGTGTGTGTGTGTGAATGCGTATGTGGGTAAGTGTACATGTGTATGTTATTGGGGAGCAGCAGCGTAACAGTTAGCGCGCTGCTTTATAGACCCAGTTACCCGAGTTTGATGCCCCTCACGGCCAACACCAGTGACCACCGAGCCTCAAATTAGTACTTGGTGTGGTGTGTTAACATCGCCACTCGGACACAAAAACTTGCCCCAGAAGTTTGTAAAGGCTGTACGTGGGATCTGAGTCTTTATTACAGTTTCATATGTGTTTGCATATGCAAGTCACTCCCTACCGATCCCTGGCCAGTCTTCCATTCGGCTGATGGCACCATGACCACTATCTGACGCTTGCTTGATGTATCCCGGTCGAGGGACAGCGCACCGTGTGGCTCCATGACTGTAGGGTCCGCGTTCACGAGTTCCTGCAGTTGGGGCAATAGGCAATCAGGACGCGGCCAACATCCTTGGGTGTGGCCCCCGGTACCACCAGTGGTCCGCGACGGTCCTCCAGCTGTGATGCAAACGCAGCTTGAACTGGAAATAATTACAATGTTCAAACCTTTTGTTTTGAACATTAAATAATACTTAAAACATTCATTTATGGTAAACTACCCCGATTAAACTACACTAACCCCAAGATCTAAATGCCCTCAATAAAAATAAAAACCTTTCAGCTGCATTTAAATAAAAAAGAAATGTATGTTCTGGTCATATTCATCATCCTGTATGACTGACATTAAGAGAGAAGTGGAATGCGTTTTGTCACAATAGTGAGAGGTTGGCGGGACAAAAAAGTTTGAGAAACACTACAGAGATATATATTTACCAGCTGGAGAGGCAGAGGGGTGCAAGGGTCGCTGTGGAGGGAGCCATCATCACTGGAATCGATGACCGAGGAGTCTGCCAACCACTTGGAGGACTCGGACTGTGACGGGTAGCCACTGCTGCTGTCACTGCTACTGCTGCAGTCGCTGCTGCTGCCGCTACTGCTGATGTTGCTGTTACCGTTCCCGGTGCCAGCGAGGTGGATGGTCATGCTGCTGTTGCTCATGGTCATGCTGGTGGCCATGGATTCATCCACAAGCGCGACAGGAGCATCCCGGTCCATTGTTGCCTGGGCGGTTGTTCCTGCGACAGAAGGACCCCATCTGCTCGTCACTCGCGTGCTCTCGCGGTGCCCGAGAAGATGGCATCACAGAAGTACTTTTCGAAACCGCTTCAATTAGAGCCTCGCTGTTCGCACTAGGGGCACTGCTTCAACACTCCTTACCTTTAAGAGTGCCACGGTGGCCAAATGTTAACTATCCTGCCTGGTATATAGGTGGTTGTGGGTTTAATCTCGACCCTGACCCCTGTGGTATATATGCAGTTTGCATGTCTCTCCCAGTGGTCACATAGATTTTTCTCCGAGTCCTCCAGTTTTTCCCTCCACATTTACAATCAACATCACGCGTTTAGCAACACCTGAGACCGGGCGAGTCTCTGACCACGTGCCGTACCCCCCCACCCCTGTCCCTCGCAACCACGCCAAGTTCAATCCCCTCACCTGGTCTGCTGACCTTGTGGGACGAGTTCCTATTGCGCCTCAATCTGTTGCCAAAGGGCCATTTGGACACCTTCTTGTGATCTCCTGCTCCCGCGCTCCACTCCTTCTTTTCCTCCTCCTCCTTCAGCTTCTTGGCGGCGTTGACCGCGGCGGTGTCCCGCCACAACTCCTGGATGATCTTGTGCACCCTCACCTGAGTCTTACAGAGTTTATACTGGGCCTTCAGGAGGGCCTTGTCGGCCGCCGATCGACGCGGCCCCTTGCGACAAAAGCCGCCCCAGCAGGACGGGCTGGCCTCCTCCTCCTCCGGCAGGCCGTCGCTAGGCGAGAGGTCGCAACGCGTCGTGGTGGGAATGTCGCCAATATCCGGTTGTCTGCAAACGTAGACGGAATGCAGTTGGGGTCACAGATGCTCGCAGGCTGTCGCGCCGACAGTCACGAGCAACTTTACAATCACACTCGAATCAAGTGAAATAATATTTATACTGGAGGAATCCGATGAGTTATGAAGCTCTTTTTCATAGATGTTCAATTGGAGGCAGGTCAGAACGCTACAACAACAATACAAAAGCACGATAGGAGTGCAGAGTGTAGAAATAGGTAAACAAATCACTTAAAAAATGGGAATTTGGTCATATATGAAGGTCAGTGTAAAGTAAAAAATATGAAAATATGAGAACAATAGTATAACAAAACACATAAAAAAACACCTTTTAGTCATTTATACAAATATGCATTACAGTACTTGGTCATACAGTACAGTGTACTGTATTTAGGTCATTGTTAAGTTATCTCTATATTTCCAGCCTTTGGGTGTCATCTGCTGGCTTTCGCGTTCTTTTCGCAAACTTTAACTTTTTACAATAAAAATTGTGTATATTTATGGTATTAAAAGATAAAATGCATTAATATTATACAGTACTGTACATATATTTAATGCATTTATGAGTTCTTAAACTTTTTGTGTGTCATCTGCTGGCTTTCGCGTGTCGTCTGGGGCTTTCGCAAAACTCCCAAAAAAGTTCCCATCTTATTTCTTATGCCGACCCTCGCGATATATCGAAACCGCGATCGGGAAAGTGGCGATGCAGAAGGGTCGACTGTAGTTTCATCCTACCAAGTAAAGCCCACTGAGCTATTCGTTTCTTTTTCAGAAGCAACCCTGCCACAAATTAACCTTATGGCGGGACCCCGGGGTCCCATAAGTCCCCCCGGCTCTCGCAGAAACATTATATTACAATGTAAACATATTACAATGTAAACATATAATGTAAACATTATATTACAATGTAAACATATATATTATATATAATGTAAACATTATATTACAATGTAAACATATTACAATGTAAACATATATAATATAAACATTACAATGTAAACATTATATATAATGTAAACATATTACAATGTAAACATTATATATATTATATAATGTAAACATTATATTACAATGTAAACATTATATATAATGTAAACATATTACAATGTAAACAAAAACTTTGCTCTTCTTCACCATTGAGTTTGAAGGATGGTGGCAAGTGTTGTCTTGTTAAACTATGCCTTTACAACTGAAAACTACTTAGCTGAAGTACCTCTATTTAAATGCACTATCGAAAACATAATTTACACCCTTCTGTCAATCATCGTGTTTCTCAGTGTGGATTTGTGAACACACTTAGTAAAGAGTACGTAAAATAGTACAGTATGCATTTTCAACGCGCTGTGCATATTGTAACAAGCGTTTATATAAATGTTACTCTACACAGTAGTGGGTCGCCGCTCCTCTTATCCATGGCTTAACCACAAAAAAAACCTATCTGCACAGATGCATACGGAGAAGAGAAGTAAGTCGACCCTAGATTTGAAGCTTTCGTGACTCAAAGGATCCATACTCTTTGGTTCTATTCGGTAAAGTCACGTAGGTAAAAAAAATAAAACAACAAAAATCACGACGTTTCGGCCACAACACAAGTGGCCTTCATCAGGTGAAGGGACCAGACTGTCTCGAGGACAGCGCTGGAGTGAACACAGCCAAGCTCAGACCGCGACCTTTAAGCTGTGTGAGAGGAATTAAGGTGCCTTGACAAAGGAATTAGCATAAAAATTAGCATTTAATTGGTGGACTTAGCATGATGAACGGTGTAGAGGGGGTGAACATGTGCAGGTCGGCGAGGGGGGGAGGGGGAGTTTACATATTGATGGTGTGAAAAGGGAATTTTAAGAGCTGCGAAAGTTTGGGGTAGGGGTTATTGTAATTATATAAAAGATTAGTAATCAGTTAATTAGTAAGTGTTTCCTCGAAAAGGAATTGTAAGATGTATTACTTAATAATATGCAGGCCACGCTAAGCCTCTAGCTGTCAGAGCGGTTAAAATAATTTCTCTCAATTTAAATGGATTATCGAATTAGTCTTGTCCAGTAATAATTAGTTTTACACAACATTTCAACGTTATCACAATCGATTGAGTGTCATTGTTGGGAAGCATGTTCTGCAACTACCGACAGTTGTGTTTGAGAATATTGAATATTTCTTTGGTGTTCTTTTAGTCTTACGCTAATGTTACGTCCTGTCTGTACAAAATAGCATCTGCCACATAAGCAATTAATCCAATACACACGTAGGCTTTCGCGACAAATATTAATAATAAAGGTTTTTGGGTGAGATGGCGTTAGTGTTAATGTGATTGGGTTGAGTGATGACATCCTGCTCTATTTAAGACCAGAAGCAGGTGGATTGCTTCACTATTTTGGCAAATTACCCGATGATGTTGGATGTGATTAGCAGCGAAACGTCATACTCAAATTGTAAATGTGGATTTACTCTCCAACATACTGGTGGGCTGACGTAATAACTACTTGGCGTTTTGTTTATGTGACTAATTGGCTGTGTCGGGTGATGGAGGGTTACAACACTGCGTATGATATTAAACTGTAAATAAATTATATTCTTTGGGTCCTTCGGTAAAGCCACGTAGATAGATCAAATTATAAAAAATGTAATAATAGGGGTTTTCCCCTTTTTTCTGGCAACAAAACTGAAACCTTTTTACAAGGATTCATGTCTGCATTAACCACAATACCTGCAGTCAAAATGCAAACAAAAACATACTATGATAATATATGCATTGTCCTTGAAACTGATTGGTCCACACCAAGGGACGGCTTTGGTGTGGACCAATCAGTTTCAAGGACAATGCATATATTATCATAGTATGTTTTTGTTTGCATTTTGACTGCAGGTATTGTGGTTAATGCAGACATGAATCCTTGTAAAAAGGTTTCAGTTTTGTTGCCAGAAAAAAGGGGAAAAACCCTATTATTACATTTTGGTACTGGCAAAGGAGATCTAATGATGATAATAAAAAATGATTTAGATGAAAATAATAACAATATCACGACGTTTCGATCGCAACACAAGCAATCGTCATCAGGTGAGAAATATCGCGGGTCATTGTTGTAAGCTCAGAGAGAGCTCGGCAAAAGTATCGCCACATGGAGGTGGACAAGGATGACAGGCAGCCATTTACTAATACAGCTAACGGTGGCTGTATTAGTGAATGTAACTCAGAGAGTCGAAAATAACTGCTAACATAGGTAGGTAGGGAGGGAACATCACAGCCAGTTATGACCTAAACTGGTTAATGATGTCCTTTCAATGATTGCTCAGTTTGTAAATTGACATGCTAATTTCTTACATTGACATGTTAATCTCTCAAAATACAATGGCCACCCCCACAGCTTCGTTAAGATTTACCCGATCTTATATTTACATGCAAATTTCATCTCTAGCCCCTCCCATTGGCCCTTGGGCTACACCCATCCCAAACCTTTAACTCCTTACCTTTGCAGCGCTCCATATATTCTCAGCAGCTCTCCTGCGATATTTCTCACTGATGACGATTGCTCGTGTTGCGATTGAAACGTCGTGATATTCTTATTATTTTTATCTTCATTATTTTTTTATTATTTGATCTATCTACGTGGCTTTACTGAAAGACCCAAAAGAATATGAACTCCTACAGTCACGCAAGCTTTAAGTCAAGATGTAAATACATTGTCTTAATAATTCACATTCATTTGTATGTATGTATGTGGAACTTCTTCCACACAGTACGTAGCCAACTGTGCTAATCAGTGTAGCCATTGCATTGCTACTCGAGTCTTCAAGGCACTCAGGGCTTCTCTGCCGCATCATCACAACACTCACCCACCCACTCACTCTTGCACATTTTACTAATCCTGGACATTTGCATCGTCACGTTTTGTGAATGAGGGCTATATTTGTAGGACTTTTTAACGGGGAGGGGAGGGAAGGGGTTAGGCATTGGGAGAGTTTTAGGGAGCGCAGGGTATTTACTGAAATATATTAAGTAGAAATCACCTTATTGCTTAAAAACACGAATCAACAGGAAGTAAATTTCGATTTAAAGCTTTTGTGACTGCAGGGATTCATCTTCTTGGTTCTTTCGGTGAAGTCACGTAGAATGGAAATAAAATAATAAAAATAAAACATAATAAAATAAGATTCTCACGCCGTTTCAGCCACAACACAAGTAGCCTTCTTCAGGTGAATAAACAGGACTGTCCAGAAGACAGCAAGTAACTGGAGAAACAAGTTGCCATGGGTTTTGTCTGAGAGTGAAATTGAAAAAAGCCCACGTGAATGTATTGCAAATGATGCAAGGAATGCAAGTGGGGGAAAATGTGATAATGCAGTCGTCAACTTACGAACGCCCGACTTACAAACTCGCGTACTTATGAACCAGCTTCCTTGAAATTGCATTGACGAAAAACGCAAACTCACTTTTGCAAATCTTGACTTAAAGCTTTCGTGACTGCAGGAATTCATATTCTTGGGTCTTTCGGTAAAGTCACGTAGATAGGTTCAAATATATTAATCAAAAATAACAGATAACGACGACGTTTCAATCGCAACGCAAGCGGTCATCTTCAGGAAAAGTGGGGTTAGCTTCCAAGGGAAACTGTTTTAAGGGTTTGAAATGGGTGTAGCCCAAATGTCAGCAGCCAATGATAATGTAAGTGTTCAGCAGCGAGCCCAGCGGTGGTTCGTTTTCCACCAATTAAAGGGCTGCCAGGTGAAAATCAGCATGTTAAAGAAAGATTAGCATGTTAATGGAAGATCGCAGAGCTGCAACCAAGGGGTCGGCGTGCGAAGTGACTGAAAGCGCAAGTTTTAAATGGGCGTAAAGCACAACTAACTTCGGAAGGTGGGAGGATGGGAACATCATAGCCAATCATGGCTTAAACTGGTTGATAGCGCCCTTCCAATGATTGCCCAGTTTGTACCCATCTTCTCAGTTGAAATTCTCTATATATGAAGCCATCCATATATATAGACACAGACACACGAACCACTGCCGGGCTCGCTGACGAACACTTACATTATCAGTGGCTGCTGACAATTGGGCTACGCCCATTTCAAACCCTGATAAACAGTTTCCCTTGGAAGCTAACCCCTCTTTTCCTAAAGACAACTGTTTGCGTTGCGATCAAAACGTCATAGTTTTCTGTTATTTTTTATGATTTTCTTTGAACTATCTACGTGACTTTACAGAAAGACCCAATAATATCACTATTGCAAACTTAACCGCGGAAGTATTTTTCTCATGGAACTATTTTTCTCAGAGGAGCGATCCTGGGAGTGTTTGCATGTGTGTGTGCATGCACATGTGTATGTATGTGATAGTGTGGGTGTGGGGAGCTCCGATTTTACAGCAGAGGTCTCGCTCTGAATCAGTCGGGCGGCATTTTATTATCATCGGCTGCGTAATGCTACGTAGAAGATGCCGGATCTGTAGCTCCGCATGAAGCTCCAGGTCTTCTCGGCCATAGTCATGCCCTCCCTTCTCTATGCTTCTGAAACGTGGATCTCTCTCATAGAACATCTGCGCCGGTTAGAAACATTCAGGCTGGCATGCCTACGATTCA